ATAGCCACTCCAGTGATTTTTGTGTGACTCTCTAATCCAAAAACGACAGATTACATCAAAGAATACATTTTTATTTTCATAAATTAATATTTAAACAAACTAGAATATTAAATGAAGTTAGGTTTGTCTTTTCATAGTTTAGCTTTATAACAGCTATAAGAAATATTATATCTTTATATTATTCAGGGTGTTTCGCTATAAGAACAAAAACAATCGGGTGTTATTAGTATGTAAATGGGGTCGAATTCGGCTAAAACGAGTTTTCTAATCATTCCTTCGAGTAATACAATTTTTTAAAAATATTTTTTGTCGGAAAAAATGACCTATATTTAAGTAAGGTATTGGTTGAGATTAAAAAGTCAGTGTCACGAGCGGGTTTCGAACCGACGACCTTCGGCTAAATGCTGCTCTAACCACTTGAGCAATCATGACTTCGATCCTCTCGGACACCATTATAAATCAATTTTAATATAATATTTAATTATTTAGCGGTGTTTAAGTATGATACGAGTATAATTATGAATAAAATTTCGTACTTATTGTGTTAGGTACACTTTGAGCCCTGAAGATGATCCCAATAAAGATCGAAACGTTGGCACAATAAAGAAAATGTTTTTCTGAAACGTACATCACACCCGACCGCATCTCACGATTTCTGAATAATTACTTATTGTGTTAGTTTGAAATTATACAGGCTGTACCTCTTTTCGTTTCTATATCTCTTCTTCCGTGCTAAATGCTTCAGAACAATATTTAATATTCTCTGTTATTGATAATATTTCCAATGATTTATGTTTATTTTATGAAAGGCAGATCGAATAAAAATAGGACAAATATTGGTTTTGACAGTTAATAAATCTTCGATCAATTTTGGCGTCCCACTGTGATCTAAGCGAGTCAGAGTCTTTAAAATATTAAGTTCCGAAGTTTTTCAAAAATTGTTTTCTTTAATCGGTTTTCATTCTGAATCAAGCCGCTGTAATACTTCTCGTAATTCATTAGATTTCGAGGTCCGATTGACCAACTAACATCTTTCAATTAATTAACCTTTATGTAAGGTATTGGTTGAAATAAAAAAGTCAGTGCCACGATTGCTCAAGTGGTAGAGCTGCGGCGTATTTAGCCGAAGGTCGTGGGTTCGAATCCCGCTCGTGACACTGACTTTTTATTTCAACCAACACCTTACATAAAGAAAAATTAATTGAAATTTACACTTACATTTTTCCAATCAACATATGTTTTGTAATTTACCCAGGCCCTGAAGATGGCCTGAATAAAGTTCGAAACATCGGCTCGTGCCATTGACTTTTCTATCTCAACTAAAAACCTTAATTAGTTTTTATCTAATGGTATTTGGAAGTCATGGTTGGAAAAGTAGTAGAGAGCTTTCAATTAATTAAGGTTTTTAGTTGAGATAAAAAAGTTTGTCGCGAGCGGGATTCGAACCCAAGACCTTCGGCTAAATACGCCGCTACTCTAATCTCTTCAGCTATCGTGGCATCCATCAACTCGGACTCCACTTCCCATCTCAACCCAAGCTTTCGAATTTTCCCTCCTTTTTGCCATTTTTCACAGGGAGGGAAAATTCAAAAGGTCAGATCGAGGTCACGATAGCTCAAGTGGTAGAATGAATTAGATTAGTGAATTAGATAAAAACCTAATCTTCAACAATTTTTTCACATTTCATGATAAACTATCCTCACTGCCTAACCCATTAGCACGATCCATGTCCAACATTAGCTACCCCTACAAGTCTTAAGGCGATAAAAGCCGACATGCCTCAGGACCTCCTTACAAATAGTACCTAATTATTTGGAAAGCTGTTAGAGCAACAATGGTTACTGGCTCCTTTCAGAATATATACAAGCGATAAAAATTTTAAAAGTTTTATTTTATAGTATGCCAGTTTTAAATATTTTAGTATCGAACGTCTGGTGCATTCTGTCATACTGCTGTGATATTTTTTATTTAGTTTTTATTTAAAAAACCGTTTGATAAATGATTACCATAGGAAAATCGCTACTTAGTGCTCATGTGGATGAATAAAAAAGAGTGACGTTAAAATAGAAATCGAGTCTGATTAGTAATTGAATTATTTGTCCCGTATTGTTAATTCATCATATCTAACGACCCTCACGTGTGCATTTGCCGTTTAGGTATCGTCCGATATGCCAGGGAAAAAGGGTAAAACGGTCTGTCTCAAATTGTGAAAGAAACCGGTAACGAAATAAATTTGGATATTTATGTTTATTTATTTAATGTTTTTAGACTAAGAGAGAACCAGAGAAAAGTGTGCAATGGGATGTGACAAAATGCAAGTTTTATAAGGAAAATTTTGGATTGTTCTTGGTGAGTTGGTTTTAGAGAATAAAAAAAGTACTACATAATAGTAGTCAAAGCCTTTGAACTGACGTTAACCACTCACCCTGTAAGTACGGAGTGATACTTCATTCGTCGTGGAGGATTAACTGAAAATATTATTAAATGAGGTCTCACAAGATGATGGTTCGTGAAACTTCTTATAGCATTTTTGGACAATGATTGGGAGGATTATTTTCGATTGTAAGGAAATAAGTCGATGGTTGGACTGCAAAGTCGATGACAAGGGATGTGATCTAGGTTTACAGCTTTCGATTGAGATGATGTTATAAGGATAAAGTATAATTGTACCATCCCCATAACTGTTAAGGATAGTCTCAGAAAAGTTACGAATGCCTGGGATGTACACTGTGTAGAGAATGGGTTTTAAGATGTCTACTTCCTTGGGATATCCTTGGGTAACACGGTGTATTGGATGGTGGGTTGAACACAAAGGTTTCAAAGTCCAAATAGTTAACAGAATTGGTAGCAACCTAGGCCCGATACTGGCAGACATAATCATGATACATCTACTAAATACAGTCATACCACAACTTCCTTTCACATTACCCTTCCTCACTAAATACGTAGATGATATATTGACAGCTGTTCTCACAGATCAAATTCAAACTACATTGGATACATTTAATAGCTTTCATCCACGCCTACAATTTACACATGGAATCGAAAACAACAAAAAATACCATTTTAGATACACTCGTAATAAGACAACCAGATGGCACATTAATCACAGATTGGTATCAAAAACCAAGAAACACAGATCGCTACCTCAACTTTACATCTCACCATCCTCTTCATACAATAATAAACACGGCCAAAGGGTTACTTCACAGAATGATTACCTTCAGCCATGAATCCTTCCACCACAAAAACATAAAGATATACAAACAGATCCTCCATAACAATCTCTACCCTAAACACATAATTAACAGAATAATCAACAATCACAACTCAACACTAACACCATCCACTATTACTAATAATACTACATTAAGTCAATCGAATACAAACAAACCAGCATACATTTCCATGCCATTTCTCCAAGGCTTATCACATAAATTAAACACATTTCTCTCGTCCGATGACTTCAAAATAGCTTTCAAAAATTATAAAACTATTCAAACACTTTTTCCAAAATTAAAGATCCCACACCAATAACAAATAAATCTGACGTAATCTACAAGATCAACTGTTTAAACTGTCCTGCAACTTAATCGGTCTTACATCCCAATATCTGGACAAGAGAGTAAAGCAACATATTGCAAAAAACCTAAGAAAAATCCTACAGCACTCGCTACCCACCATTTTGAACACCAACGCAATTTCGACTTCAAAAATCCAAAAGTATTACACACAGAACAAAACAAACATAAACGTAATTTCTAAGAAATGGTTTATATCAACAGATATAAACACAGCATCAATTACAGAACAGATACATGTAAAATCAGTCGCAGCTACGCCAATATAATTAATCAAATTCAATACAGATAACATTCCTATATCATCACATTACATTCTACACATCAAATATTTTTCACATAGTCTAATTTCCAACAATTTAGCTTTCCTTTTCCTATTTATCCCTTTTTATATAATCCTGAAAGGATAATCTGGCCGAACCATTACAAAAACATTGTTTCCCTTCGACGGCTCCTTTCACCTCAAAGAAGCCGACGCCTTATACAAAAATGTCTTTTCTATACCGACTTCCTTCCCCACCCCTTCAAAATCCAACGTATATAAAACAAAATAGCAAAATCTCACTGGCACTCTCGACATTACACAGAAGACAAACACTTTGAGTGAGTAGAAATACTTTGATTGAATATAAAAAATATATTTTGCATTGTATAAATTCACTTTTCCACATCCAAAATGTAATTGTTATATGTAAACAATGTTTTTAAATCCCAGGCTCTGAAGATGATCTCAATAAAGACCGAAACGTTGGCACGATAAAGAAAATGTTTTTCTGAAACCTACGTCACACCAGACCGCATCTCACGATTTCTAAATAAATAGGATTAACGGTCACTAATCACCACACATTTCTAACAGAATAATTTTTCACCCAGTTTTGATAGGTTGTTTAGCAGTTTTTTTTTAAGAAGTCTGAAGCTTCTGTTGAGTTTATCATTTGAATTGCGCGTGTGGGTTCTATTTAGGCGTATTTCAATGAAATATTAGTTGATCGAAACAAGGAGGTCTTTTTAGGTGGTTGGTTCAAAACTGCGATAAATAATCAAAAATTAATTTAGACTATAATCCATTATATTTCGTGGTCCGATTGACCAAATAACTTCTTTCAATTAATTAATCTTTTTATGTAAGGTATTGGTTGAAACGACAAAGTTAGCTTAACGAGCGGGATTCGAACCCAGCCGAAGGTCGTTGGTTCGAATCCTGCTCGTGACACTTTTTCATTTGAACCAATACCTTACATAAAAAGATTAATTAATTAAGCCATAATTTTTATTCAGTTTGCACAATAAATTGTAATTTTTTTAGTTTTGATTTTATAAAACCCATTACGAAAGTTTTTTTTTTTTTGCCAACCTAAATATATAAACTATATTCGCCATAAATCTGAGTATATTTTTTTAAATTTTTATTTACAGAGGTATGGTTTACTTTTATGGATAAACGTATTCCACATCGGCGCATACATCATCATTTTGGGCACCCACATACCTTTTTATCTTGCAGCCTCCTGGCTAATATTCGAGGAGGAATATGCAGATTTCACCGAGCTCCTCCACCTCACGATACTGCTTTTGCTTTGCTTCCTCGCCGTTCTGACGATAAAAAAAGAAAAATTGGAAAAACTGATAAGGTGACGATGCCCGGATCGATGTGTACAACATTCAAACAAATATTTTCACAGAAAATTCGACAACGGACTTCACGACTACGGAGACACGATGGACAAATCGTGTTTAGAAGAAATCGAGAAGATCAAAAGTGAAACATTGTCAAGGAAACGTTTCCGTTGTCGCTTCATGCTTTTCGGTCTTACTATGTCGGCTCAGACTATCATCGTCCTGCGGCCGATTTTCGATCTGATCTCGGGAAAATTCAGCCAGCCCCATTTTAAACACAACGTCAACAGGTCCGAAGTAAAAGTAATCCCAATTTAGAAAATTCTAACATTTAATTGTTTAAGATACCTTCCTATTATCATGTGGTACCCTTTGGACGTTTCGACATGGACGTGCCAGATAATAATGTTCATTATAGAATACTACTTGGTGATCCAGACTTGGCTTTTGGCAACAGGCAAGTGAGAAAAGGTCAAATTGTTTGTTTACTTTTTTTTTTTTTAATCTTGTCACAGCTTCTACAGTAACACTGATTTCCATATCGGAAGAGATATGCCTCGAGCTTTCCGTGCTCAAAATCACTCTGAAGAACATCGTGCCGAGAGCTAAACACGCTGGTAAAGGAATAGTTACTAAGGAAATTCTGAACGACTGCCTTCGCAGATGTGTCATTCACCATTGCAACATTATTGAGTAAATAATTTATTTGTTAAGAAAAATCTCCTTTCTTTACGTTCTGCTGACGAGTAGAAATGAAATTTAAAACTTTAGTTTATTTAGAAATCGTGAGATGCGGTCTGGTGTGATGTAGGTTTCAGAAAAACATTTTCTTCATCGTGCCAACGTTTCGATCATTATTGAGATCATCTTCAGGGGCACTCTCAACACGACACGCAAGAATGGCACAGTTACACAGAAGACAAACACTTTGAGCCCTGAAGATGATCTCAATAAAGATCGAAACGTTGGCACGATAAAGAAAATATTTTTCTGAAACCTACATCACACCAGACCGCATCTCACGATTTGTAAATAAATATCGATTAACTGTCACTAATCACCACACATTAAAACTTTAGACCGAAATCAAAGCGAAAATGGGCGGACCATGATAATCAAACAGGCTAAAAAACCAAATCCAGCACGTTAAGACATATTTACTTCAAATCTCATCTTGTACCGGCATAGGATCACTCTAGGAGGATGAATTCCTCACTGAAGATGGTGCAATGCCGAGACGCGTTCACCGATTCGCAGACCAAAACCCATCATAACTCTACTTTAAATCTGTTCAGTTATGAATATTGTAGGATATATAGTCGGTTTTACTACAACGCAACTGATTATATTTTAAAAAATTGTCTTATTGATGTACATGTACATGCCAATAAAAAAATGACCGTTTATATATATGCAAGATAGGTTGCATTAAGGCCAGAGGCTCATATTCCATGTGATCCAACCCTATCAGTATTGATTTTGGAAAAAATGTTTGAATTCACTTGTTCGCATCCTTGTTCATTTATTACATTTGGTTTAAGAAAGTGGATCATTTTCGGGAATAGGCAGTATGAAGGCGTGAGGTAAAGACTAAAGGATAGTTGTGGTAGATCCTCATTGGACGTCGACCATTGCTGGAAAGAGGTGGATTGAAAAACAGTCGGAGTCAGATGTGTTCAGTACACATAGATGATAAATTATTTACTGAAAAAGTTTGACAAAACTTGATCAACCAACTATCCCACTAGAAAGATAGTCTGAATGAGCGAAGTCAGGACAACAGAGTGACCACAGTAGACGTAGAATAAACATTAAAAGTCATTTGTTTTATTTCTTTCCGGGTTAAAAATGATTTAAAAAGTCCGGATAATGGAACAACTAGTAGAAGATCGAATTCGAATGGCCACAATTATAATGACCCAATATTTTTAAATACTCTGGGTTTGCGTTGTCATATTGCCAGACAAATGGAGGCCGAACGTCATTGATCAACTGTCCGATCTGACTGGAAAGGTAATTTGAAATGTCAAGGCTAATAAAATGGAATGAATTCTATTGAAGCTCGATTTCATCCATTTTGGAATGTTTGCACTTAGTCTGAGGGTTAGGTTTGTGACCACATTCAGGAAGTGATCCATAGCTCGCCAGAGTTGACAGTCGAAGAGAGCAAGGTTGACAATAAAGTGGATGTTAAACGGTTGATTCGATGGAGTTAATTGGCATCCTAGAGATTCTTCTACCTTTTGTAGGACAGTGGTTGAATTTTCCACCGTTTAAACTCATTAGCTTCTCCGGCTTTTCAAAAGAGGGTGTAAAATGTTATGCCGACTGGGCAGAGGTGACACAATCAAATTCAAAATCTCTCCGGAAAGTAGTCCGAAGGAGCAGGTCAGGATAATGGAGGGAATGTGATAGATGGTCAAACTGAAAAGGGTACTGAAACCTTGGAAAGGTAGTCTGAAGGAGCAAGGTCAGGACAACAAAATGAAAGTGGTAGATGCACGAACTGGACAGGAGTAGACGTGGGCATGGAAAAAGTAGTTCGAAGGAGCAAGGTCAGGCTTGTAGAATAAAAGTGGTAGGTGGACGAATTGGACAGGAGTAGTACATGGAAAAGTAGTCTGAAGGAGCAAGGTCAGCACAACAGAATGAAAGTGGTAGATGCACGAACTGGGCAGGAGTATTCCTGTGCTTGGAAAAGGTAGTACGAAGGACAAGGTCAGGACTATAGAGTGAAAGTGGTAGATGGACGAACTGGGCAGAAGTAGACCTGTGTTTAGAAAAGGTAGTTCGAAGGACAAGGTCAGGGCAGTAGAGTGGAGGTGGTAGATGGACGAACTGGGCAGAAGTAGACCTGTGTTTGGAAAAGGTAGTTCGAAGGACAAGGTCAGGGCAATAGAGTGAAGGTAGTAGATGGACGAACTGGGTAGAAGTAGACCTGTGTTTGGAAAAGGTAGTTCGAATGACAAGGTCAGGGCAGTAGAGTGAAAGTGGTAGATGGTCAAACTGGACAGGAGTAGACTAGTGCATGAAAAACGTTGTTTGAAGGAGCAAGGTCAGGAGAGCAGAGTGAAAGTGGTAGATGGTCAAACTAGACAGGAGTAGACCTGTGCTTGGAAAAGGTAGTCTGAAGGACAATAAAGTGAATGTGGTAAATGCCCAAACTGGACAAGAGTAGACCTGTGCTTGGAAAGGGTTGTTTGAAGGAGCAAGGTCAGGGCAGTAGAGTGAATGTGGTAGATGGACGAACTGGACAGAAGTAGACCTGTGCTTGGAATAAGTTGTTCGAAGGAGCTAGGTTAGTAGAGTACAGTGAAAGTGGTAGATGGACGAACTGGACAGGAGTAGACTAGTGCTTGGAAAAGTAGTCTGAAGGAGCAAGGTCAGGACAATAGAGTGAAAGTGGTAGATACTGGAACTGGAAGGATTATATTAGTGCTTGAAAAAGGTAGTCTTAAGAAGCAAGCTAAAGTAGGTATAGTGAAAGCTCAGTTCCATCAAATTTGTAAAATTCGTTTTCTACGCCAAAAAGGATTCGATTGAACGTAACACCTTTTCTGAATGTCACATTCTTTGTAAGTGTTTGTAAGTGTTGGTTTTTTAAAAGAGGTTCGGTTCAATGAACGTTCATGTTAATGTTATTTTTTTTAATGTTCTAACCATTGCATAAAAGAGACAACCAGAATAGTTTGAGTGCGATAGAATTATATTTCGTAAAGATTTGATCTGAGAATGATATCGCCTGCGGGTATTCTGAAAGAAAAATATCAGGGAAATCCATGGGTTCAAATTTGGTGTGGCGTCGTTTCAACATTAATAATACTTAAATTCACTTATTTCGTGGTCCCCTTGACCAATTAATATATTACAATTAATTAAGGTTTTTAGTTGAGATAAAAAAGTCAATGGGACGAGCGGGATTCGAACCCACGATCTTCGGCTAGATACGCCGCTGCTCTACCACTTGAGCTATCGTGACCTTGATCCACTCGGACATCAACTTCCCATCTCAACCCCACCTTTTGAGTTTGAAAAATGGCAAAAAGGAGGGAAAACTCATAGGGTGGGGTTGAGATGGGAAGTTGATGTCCGAGTGGATCGAGGTCACGATAGCTCAAGTGATAGAGCAGCGGCGTATCAAGCCGAAGATCGTGGGTTCGAATCCCGCTCGTGCCATTGACTTTTTTATCTCAAATAAAAACCATAATTAATTGTAATATAATAATACTTTAGTCTTAACATTTATGATTATTTTGCGCAGAATGCATTGTTTTACTTGTATGCCAGGAATTATGATTATTCTTTTGATCACCTAAGCTATTCCTTAAAAGATTCTACTCTCTTTCGACAGGTTTGTGCTTTGTACGTTGAAAAATATCCATAATCAAGTAAGTCATTACTTCAAAAGTAGCAAGATTCGGATAAGGTAACTGTACTTACTCTCGGAATTACTTTCGATCGTATCTTATCTTTGGTAATTATTCACCACTTGGAATATAAATGATACTGCCAGGCGAATTCAACCTTGTATTGAAAATAGTTGAAAACGGTCATTTTTTTATTGTATTAACCTATAAATTTCAAGGACTTATCTAATTTTCTCCTGTATTCAAGTTGTTTCAAGCTCTTTCAGGAATTTTACAAATGGATTATTTGGCTAATTATTACAATGTCAACATTCATGCTATGCCTCGGAGCATTCCTTATGACCATGGTAAATATGAAATAGCATAACGATTTTAGAAATGATGAGAATGTTTTAAAATTTTTTATTTTTATTTTTAAGGGAGGTATGAAAGTGGTCCAAATGGTTACATCTATAAGTTTCTTCGTCTTTGAAATCTTTCACCTGCTTTTATACTGTTGGTACGGAGAAGAGATCGAATCATTGGTGAGATGTTAAAAAAACAAAAAATTGCTCAAATAACGAGTTTTTTTTAAGAGTGCCGATCTTTTCTACAAAATATACGAATCTGATTGGATTGATTATAAAGTTGACTTCAAACACTATTTCCTGTTAATACAGAAGAGGACTCTTTATCCTTTGAAATTGTCCGCCGGCGGTTATGTCTACGCAAATCTTCACACATTCAGCAACGTGAGCTCATTTCTTTTTCAGATTATTTACCTGTTATAACTTTGAAATTTATTAGGCAATCAGTTCGGCTTATTCTTACTTCAACGTGCTCAACGCTTCAAGAGGAAATTAAGAAAAAATGTAATTTGAACCTGTAGTAACGCACTATTATTAGAATGTCTAAATCAATAAATATTTCACATGCAATAATTTTTTTTATCACTATTTCCTTACAAAAAATTATTATTATTTTCCGACTATTCAAGTAATAATCAAACAATTATAGTGGCCGAGGTGGTTTTGAATTATTGCTACGCCCGACGTAGAGGAAACATAATTTATTCCCACAACTTTTTCCCAGTCGTGAAAGGCCTTTCTGCTCATAAATCATCTGTTAAAGTCAGACATGGAGATCATATTTTTTCATCCTGATATGCTTCTACCCTGAAACCGGCCATTCAGAGTAAATAGCCGATCCAGAATTATATAATGACCCATTCATAAATGTAAGATTAATTAACCACATTTTAAAAAAGCCCTAAGCACTCAATTTTAAATGTAAATAATGTCTACTACCAAAAAGAAAAAAAGAAATAATTTCATGAAATCAAAAATTAGTATTTTGGACTGGTATTTGCCGCATTGATGGTTCGCGTTTCGAATCCTGTTAAAACATATGATTTTTCAATTCATGATATATTTTTTGTAATCTAAACATATAAAATGTTGGTGTTTCATACATCAATAAAAGCGTTTCCTCAAATAAAATATAATTGTGTTCAACAAAGGAGAACCCAAGGTTCAGTACTTAGTCCAACTCTCTTTAAAGTTATACTAGGTCATACGTGATCCTCAACTGACATCCCTGCAGTAACAGCTTGTTTGAACAATGATTTAATTGTACTCCAGCTAAGGGAAATAAGTTAGCAGTCAATCTTCAAAAGGCGGGATCATTTTTTAATCTTTGATTGGATTAAAAGACGCGATACTGTTCTTACATACAAGGATAATCCATATTTAGCAGTCATAATTGACCTTTTTAATTATGTGGAATAATTACACTTTTAATCTCAATCAAGATCTTAGATTAAAAGTATAATGAATTAATATAAAAGTTACATTCTATCTTACCCGACACAACAACTTATTGATGTGGCAGGTAAGCCATCTGTGTAAACTGTTGTGTTTAGGTGGAATGAGATTTAACAATTTCTGTGAAACCAGTGTCCAAAACAATATTAGTTTAATGTCTAATTCTAATGGCTGAAAGACCCAAAATTTTCAAAATTTTCGATTCCATCGAACTGTATTCCAGGACAGAGATATGCGACAAAATTGGTCAAAGGACGATCGCAAAAACTAACGGTAGAACTGGCGGTAGATTGTAAAGATTTGGGGTTGAATAAATAGCCTGTCAGACATTGGTAACAACCAAATTACCCTTGTTTGGCTGCCATGGCACACAGAGCCGAAGGGCATCAAACAGGACGATAAACTAGACAAATAATATTTGATGAGGACACCTATGGGCCCTGAACATTTTTGGTCATACCAAATTACCAAAAAGTTGGATAAATCAGATAATCAGTTAGGAATACGACCTGGATTTAATGACACTGTGCCAGAACAGAGATATGGAACAAAGGTCATCAAAGGACAATCGCAGAACTGGGGTAGACCAAGGGACATTTCCTCATCGATTGTAAAGTCCAGATTTGGGATTGTCTCAAGACCTGACGTCATTGGTGACAACAAAATTACCCTTTTTTGGATGCCATGGCACTCAGAGCAGAAGGGCAACGAAGAGGAGGATAAATGGGACAAGAAAAACTTGATGAGGACATCTATCGGTCCTGTACCATTTTGGTCATACCAAATTACCAAAAAGTTCGATAAATCAGATAATCGGTTAGGAATATCACCTGAATTTAATGGGACTGTCCCAGAACAGAGATATGGAACAATGGTCGTCAAAGGACAATCGCAGAACTGGGGTAGACCAAGGAGCACTTCCTCATCGGTTGTAAAGTCCAGATTTGGGATTGTCTCAAGACCTGATGTCATTGGTAACAATAAAATTACCCTTGTTTGGATGCCATGGCACTCAGGGCAGAAGGGCAATGAAGAGGAGGATAAATGGGACAAGAAAAATGCGATGAGAAAACTTCTCGGCCGTGAACATTTTTGTCCATACCAAGTTACCAAAAACTTGGAAACATCGGATAATCGGTTAGGAATATCACCTGAATTTAATGGGACTGTCTCAGAACAGAGATATGGAACAAAGGTCGTCAAAGGACAATCGCAGTACTGAGGTAGACCAAGGGGTACATCGATTTTAAAGTCCAGATTTTGGATTGAATCAAGACCCTGTCGTTACCCTTGTTTGGATGATAAATTGGACAAGGAAAATTCGATGAGGACATCTATCTGCCCTGTACCTTTTTAGTCATACCAAATTTAAAAAAAAGATCTTGATTTAATGGGTCTGCCCCAGGACAGAGATATGCGACAAAATTCGTCAAAGAACAAGAACCGAACGGTAGAAGTGGGGTAGACCAAGGGGCACCTTATCGTTTAAAATCGACCAGATTTGGGATTGAATCAAGACCCAGTACATTGGTGACTACAAAATTATTCTTCTTTTGAGGCCATGGCTCTAGAGATATGCTACATAAGAGAGATGCGACAAAGTTCATTAAAAAAAAGACAATTTAGCAGTAGTACTATCAAACCTAGGACGTTTTGGTACTAGAATGATAATAGACTCCTAGTGGGCATTGCTGACTTAGACTATTACAAAAAAATGATGTTAGTTCAATGAGACTATCCCAGAGCAGAGGCATAGGATGATAGAAGCTGAGTGCATGAAAAGAAGCACGAACTGAGCAGATATTTCCAGGAAGAAGAAGAAACAGCGGAACATTTGGTGCAAACTAGCTTATTACTTGGAGTGGAAAAACCTAAGACACACGGAAGCACTTTATAAAGCTTTGGGATCGGTTAAAAAGACATCATTTTAACGAAGTGCTCTAGACAATGATGAAGATGTGTCGTTCATGAAACACGAGACAGGACCATTTTGAAGAAAAAATTGTAAAAATGTTTCTTACTCTTTCCATTTTATAAAAATTGACGTAAGAGACTTCAAGTGTAAAATCGGGTAAGGAATATTTTTTTAAATAGATTATTATTCAGGGAACGTCGGACACGTAGGTTGTTGTTCTCATGGGCGCGTTTCGGCTCGCTCGTTACCCAACCGGCCCCTTGTTGCATTACCGGCCTCGTATCAAAAATCATTCAAACATTAAAGATATTTCCATAACAGATCCGTTTGTACTTTTACAAAAAACTCGTTTTTAATCCTGCATTATCCATGGGACATGTGCTGTTCACACCATGTTTGTTTAAAAGGGCTTTCTCAATGAATAAATAAAACAGAGCTGGCCTTTTTCGCCAAGCCATTCTTTGAAATAAGCGAGTGGATTCATTTTTCAATAGGGATATTTTAGAAGGATCATGCAGACTAGATTCATTAATAATTCCTGGCAATTTTTTTTTAATTGTTAACACTGTCCTGCTGACCTTGTAGCATACCTGTTGGATTATCATTGCACAAGACATAGAATCGGTGAAAATCTCTTTATCATTTTTTATTTTATTTACTTAATGTATATATTTTCTGAATACCTGATTATTCGTGATTAATCTTATTCTGACTACAGTTCTTATTATGGTTTTTTGCCTGAACCTGATTTGTACAATGAAACTTCAAATCGGGGAAACTGCAAGGCTGTGTTATTTTTCAAAATTCATTGCTTCATTTTATGCTAATAAATAGAAATCCTTATAACTTTTCGAGTTCTTTCTGTTCGTCTTGGCCAATCTGAAATAGTTTGACCTATTGGCGACATAACGCTTCACTAATATTCAACTGACGTTTTTTTCTAATTTGGCATTGTCTCCAAGGCTGGTTGACCCCCACTTGTAGAGGTATAAATATCGTCCTGTCGCAGGACTCGTCACTTTTAATCCAACTAGCTCAGAATGTACACCAAGATCGTAAGTGTTGGAAAATAATTGAAATGAATTGTTTATTTATTGTTTTTGTTTTGTAGGTCGCCATTTTCGCTCTTGTCGCAGCGTGCAGCGCAGCTCCTTCTGTCGTAACGCCCGTAGCGACGTCGCATAGCTCCCAGGTCGTGACCAGAAGCCACAACGCCCTGGCGACTCCTGTCGTTGAAACTTTAGCTGCTTACACCGCACCAGTTGCTGCTGCTTACACCGCACCAGTTGCTGCTGCTTACACCGCACCAGTTGCTGCTGCTTATGCCGCACCTGTTGCTGCTGCTTACACTTCACCCGTTGCTGCTGCTTACACTTCACCCGTTGCTGCTGCTTACACGGCTCCTTTTACTTACCCATATTATTCTTACGCGCCCTTCGCCGACGTCGCCTACACTTCAAGCAGCTACACTGCTGCTCCTTCAGCTGCCTACGTCCTCTAAATCTTAGATGTGTCTTAAAATTTAAATAAATGAGCAAACCATTAAATTTAATGACTTTTTTTCTCGTGGGTATCCAGTTTAAATCAGTTAACTATGCATTTTCTTCTTTATTTTTGCGAACATAACTACACATACGCCATGTGTCCAAGATACCTCAACCAACGTAAATCTGCACATTTAAAATCGCATCCCGACAAATCCCTCGAACCCTCCTCGCCGAATGATGAGACGAGAACCTACATCACACCAGACCGCATCTCACCATTTCGGAATAATTATCGATTAACTGTCACTAATCACCACACATTAACGTTTTTTTTTTTTTTTTTTTTTTTTTTCAACTCAGATGAAGTAATAATTCAGTAAATTTTGAATATTTCACCTTGCATTAAATATTTGTTTGTTTTTTCATATTCGTTTCTATTTTCTATAATGTATTTATTAATCGTGAATCGTACAAGTAGTGGGGTAGTTTTGAAATTTTAATGGTTTTTTACGTCAGGAAGAATAAGAAATGTCTTACAAGTAAAGCGAAAAAATCTCCTGAATAATATATTTTCGTTGGTCTTTTATGTATGAAGATATCATGTATTGACGCTCCACTTGAAACGAAGCCGTCTAAGAAGTATGGCCGGTAAGGAAAAGGGTGAAATCAAAGAAAAGGTAATTTTAGAGAAATTTTAAATTCAGTTTATGTTACATCGTGTTTAATCGTGTTTAAACAAATTTTAGAGCAAAGTACGACACTATACCCAATGTAAATTCTACAAAGAAAATTACGGACGTTACATGGTGAGTATGGTGAAAATATTTATTCATGGTATATTTTAAAATGGAAACCCTCAAGCCGGGAACACGTTTACCCGATGCTACGCCATGCGACGCTACCCGATGCCTTGCCACGTTTTGGTGGGGTGTGCACATCTATCCGACGCAAGCACACGTCGCGTACAGTCCACAGCTTTTATCACAATAATCACTATCACAATCGCAACGCATCATTTGTTCTTAATGCTCTATTTTGAGCAAAACCTTGTAATAAATTGTTAGTTAAATTTTATGAGCACAACCATCTAATAAATTGTTTTTTAAAAGTAATTGTTTTAAATAAAGTTACTTCTAACCATCATAGGTTAAACAATGTTTATAAAAACTTACGCATTTTTTATCTCGTTTAATTTGGTTTAGATTAAAATAACATGTTGTAATTAATATAATGACAAAATTACATGTACTTAGTTTGAAATAAACTACAAAAAATATGAGTATCCTGCTTTGATGCTACCCGACATTACAAAATGGTGTAATTTTACGAGCAAAACTATGAAATAAATAGTTAAATTTTATGAGCAAAACCGTGTAATAAATTGTTCCAATTTTAGTACATGTACGGCGAAGCGAGTACAATAAATTGTTAGTTAAATTCATTATATCAAAAAATCGTATTCCGGTGTTTTGATTAATTTTCTACCAAACTATTAAAATTAATTTTTTAAATTAAAACTAATTAATTTTTAATCACAGTTAATTTGGTTTATGTGAAAGTAAGTATGTTGTAATTAATATAACGACAATAATACATGTAGTTTGAATAAAAATTTGAGTGTCCGGTTGTTTTGTCTTCGACTGTACGCGATGCGACCCGACGAAAATCTGGACAGTGAGGATCGCAGAGCGTCGGGTAGGTTAGGGTGGCATAGCATCGGGTAGATGTCCACGGGGGTAATGCAATCTTATGGAAAATCGGAGTTTGGATTTGCGTCGGGTAGCGTCGCATGGCGTAGCATCGCGTAAGTGTGTTCCTGGCTTTATAAACGCCCCGTCCAAAACTGGAAATTTATTATAAATACCAGACTAAAGTGTATTTTTCGATTTTAATTTCACTTTTCTTTGGCCGGGATAGTGTGAATTAACCCTGAGAACTTGTGCAACCTTTCGATATCAGCAATCGTTTTCATTTGTTATCTTCTTTAATTTTAGTCATGGGGAATGTTCCTGCCGATGTCCAGGATGCAAAGACCTTTATACTTTTTCATCGGCACCATCCACCTTCCAGTCGTTTTTTACACATGTTACCTCATCTTAGAAGAAGAGTTCGCCGATTTTACAGAATTGATACACTTCGGCATCCTGCTCATCCTTTCTACAACTGTGACGAGTTTTTTCAATTCGGCACAATTGGAAAATTTAATATGGTAGCACGAAAAGTCTAATATTCGTTGAAAACATGTATAAAATGTTAGAAATTTATGTTACACTTATTACCAGATTTTTTATTACCAACTATTTTTTTTTACTAAAAACGGAAAATATGGCTTGTAATAAATTTTCCCAGGTATTACGAATCGGGGTTGGGAGATTATGGCGACACCATTGATAAAGTTTCTGCCAAAGAAATTAAAAAGGTCAAATCCAAATTTTTAAAAAGGAAAAATTTTCATTCTTTGTTTATGTATTACGGTCTTTACATGGCCTCTTGCTCACTCGGATTATTAAGACCCGTATACGAATGGTTGTCGGGCAAATACGACAACATAAGCTTCAAAGATAATGTGGACAGGTTTGTTGATCTCATTATAACCATTTAACATCATATTTACTTTCTTTGTAAATCTCAGAATGTTGCCGCTCAGCGTTTGGTACCCCCTCGATGTGACGAGTTGGCCCGTACATATTTTTATGACGTGCTTGGAGTATTATATAATTGTCCAAACGACTTTCTTAGTGATAGGTAAGGCTGCAATAAATAATATTATAACGGATTAAAAAAAAAAAATCTAGGTTCCAGTATTATATACATCTCCGTGTCGGAAGAGCTCTGCGCCCAAATAGCAACCCTTAAAATCACAATGAAAAATATTACCAGGAGGGCGAAACACGTTGGCAAAGGCGTGACGACAAAAGAAAATTTAAGAGAATGTCTTAGACGATGTGTTATTCATCACTGCAGAATAATAGAGTAAAATAAAAATATAAACTTAGAGGGAAACAGCATTGAAACATTTTCAATTTGTTTCAGGTGGTTCGATATGTTTCAAAAGTTTTACAGTCGCCCTCTCTGGCTCATTATGACAATTTTAACTTATATGATTTGCCTATGTGCCTTTATAACGACTATGGTAATTTTTTTCCAACAAAGACGTTTAAATCAATTCTTAACTATTTTTTTCCTCCATATTATAGAAAGCTGACTTAACATTCAGCAATAGGGTAACCTCAGTAGCCTTTCTCGTTTTGGAAGTATTCTACTTGCTCGTTTACTGCTGGTACGGTGAGGAGATACGATCTGAGGTAACATCCATTAAACTTATTAAAACTTTTTTTTTTAGTTAATACATTTATGTGTTGTTTTAAATTTTAACAGAGCGGTGATTTGCATTTCGAAATTTACGATTCCGATTGGATCGATTTTCAAGTCGATATTAAAAACTACCTTTTGATCATCCAACAAAGAGCTTATCATCCTTTGAAAATGTACGGCGGCTTGATTTCCGCAGATCTGAACACATTCAGCACTGTAAGCGCATAAAACATTAAGACACTAAAAATAAAAAAAAATTGAGTTTTTGTTTTTATTGTAGATTTGTAATACGGCTTACTCCTACTTTAATCTACTCAACGCATCGCAAAATTAATGAATCAAATAAAATTTATTCTATTCTTTCACCACACTTTGGAGTTTAATAAGTAGATCACATAAACATAAATAATAACATCTGAATACAAAATATTTATTGTTTTTTTTTCTTTCATGGCCCTTTCTTGTCCCCATCGATCATCATCATCTACTTATCATCCTAATCCAATTTTTTATTACATTTACAGCAATAACGAATCAAATAATAGGACAATTAAATACATAAAATGACGTAACATCTTATTTGAGAAAGGCTGGCCTAGGAAAATAATTCAGACATTTATCAAACTTGGTCAACCAAATTTGTATATACATGTATCCTTCGCCCGCTTTAATTTTGTCATGTATATACAATCCAGGAAAAGTAAAGCCAAACCGCCTTTATTTTTTCCATTAGGGCGTACTGGGAGATCGGTGTGTATAGCAAAGTATACAACCCAGTAAAGATTTAATGACACTCCATGTTATTATTAAAAAGGAAATAAATAATAATAAAAATGAAAGGACAATCAGGCCGCGCGATTATCCAGTTTTTCCCATTGTCGGCTCCTTTCACCTCAAAGAAGCCTACTCATCCTATAAAAATGTCTTACTATCCTTTCTTCCTTCTCCACCCCTTGAAAATTCAATGTATATATACATAAAACATCAATATCTCACTGGCACTCTTAACACGACAGACAAGAATGACACATCTACACCGAAAACAAACATTTTAAGTGAGTACAAATACTTTGATTAAATTCTGTCACTTAATTAAGGTTTCCAGTTGAGATAAAAAAGTCAGTGTCACGAGCGGGATTCGAACCCACGACCTTCGGCTAGATATGTCGCTACTCTACCACTTGAGCTATCGTGACTTCGATCCCCTCGGACACTAACCTCCCATCTCAACCCAAACTTTTGAATTTTCCTTCCTTTTCCGAGTGAATCGGAGACACGATAGCTCAAGTGGTAGAGTAGCGGCGTATCAAGACGAAGATCATGTGTTCGCATCCCGCTCATGACACTGACTTTTCATCCCAACTAAAAACCTTAATTAATTGAAATAATTTAATTGGTCAAGCGGACCACGAAAACTACTGTCTTTGATTAAATTTAAAATTTCTAGCATTGTATATATTCATTTTTTCCCGTTTTATTTTATTTTTCCCCACATCCTACGTGCATTTGTAAAAGTTAAAAAATGTTTATAGTTCCCAGGTCCTGAAGATGATTTCAATAAAAGTCGAAACGTTGGCAGGATTAAGAAAATTTGTGTGGTGTTCAGTGACCGTTAGTCAATGATTTATCGGAGATTGTGAGGTGTGGTCTGGTGTGACGTAGGTTTCAGAAAACCATTTTCTTTATCGTGCCAACGTTTCGATCTTTATTGAATCATCTTCAGGGCTCAAAGTGTTCGTTTTCCGTGTAGATATGAAGAGAGCACTCTCAACACGACACACAAGAATGACACAAAGGGTTGCCCACAGGGATCAGCATGTGGACCTGGTTTTTGGATTGTGCTCTACAACTGATTAATAAAGGAAGAATTGCCTGATAACTGTGACGCGGTTGCATTTGCAGACCATTATTTATTGATGGTGCATGCGAGAGACCTTTGTGATATTCAACTGACAGCAAACAAGGCATTAAATAGGATAAACTTATGGGCTAAATCAAAGAAAATAAAGTTTAACGAGTCCAAATCAAAATCCTAATAACTAAAAAAAGAAGGCCAGGTAATATTAATATTTATTTAGATAGTAAGAAACTTGAGATAGTTAAACAGTTTAAATATTTAGGAGTTATTTTTAATAGTAAATTAACTTGGGATTCTTATATACAAGAGAAAACTGAAGATACTATTAAGTTAGTCAATGCTCTTTCAAAATCAGCAAAAGTAAGCTGGGGACTAAACTCCGAGGCCCTTAGATTGATGTATGATGGGGTAGTGGTTTCGAGGATTGCATATGCTTTGTCTGTGTGGGCTGATTCTGTTATAAATATAAGAAAATAATGACAAAACTGCAGCGAGTGCAAAGAATCATGACAATAAGGATGATTAAAGGGTATCAGCACCATTTCATATGAAGCTGCTTGTGTTGTAGCGAATATAATGCCTATAGGAATAAAGATAGCTCAACTTAAAAAATTAAACGAAAAATGGTAATGTTGAGCTTCAAGGCACAAAATATGATAGACCATTGCAATATAAAGAGTGGAAACACCCGGAAGATGCTATTGACATCCAGTATCTACATACTACCGAAATGGCCCATGGTGATTATATGTCTATATATACTGACGGAAGCAAATCAGAGGTTGGTGTAGGTAGTGCTTTTGTTTGTTTCCAAAATGGTTAAAAAATTTATGAAAAAAAAATAAAGACTGCATAAGGCATGTTCCAATAATCAAGCCGAACTTTTGGCCATCCTGAAGAGCTTGCAATGGGCTATGAATAAAAAATCAGAAGGGAATATTGCCAAATTTATCATTTTAAGTGACAGTCAAGTGTTCTTAGTATCAATTATTAATTATAATAATCATGGCTATTTGCCTGAGAAAATAAGGGAAATTATTCAAACTCTAGTCAAACAGAATGTTAATGTACAACTAGGCTGGGTTAAGGCTCATTGCGGAATAGAGGGAAATGAAGAAGCTGACAGACCGGCCAAATTAGCATCTACTGACGAGAGTTTGCATTTGGCATACATCAAACTTCCAAAGTCATCAATTATAAATAAACTTTTCGAAGAGAGCCTGGAAAAATGGGAAAATGCTTGGTCAAGTACAAACAATGGAAGGCAGACAAGAAAGTTCTTTCCCAAAGTTGCCGATAGATTCCAGCAGCACATCCAACTATCCGCACCACTAACGCACATCTTAACCGAACACGGCCCAAACAATAGCTATTTTTTCCGCTTTCATCTAAGATGCTCATGCCTGCCTAATTTCCCAGTAGAGCAAAGCATTAAACACCTAATATATAAGTGCCCACTAATAGAACCACTGCGTACCACTGTTTACCACTGTTTGGATACGAAAGTGCCTACTGCAAGACAAGAAGTGGCCACGTGATGAGAAGGAGCTCATGAAGAGAGAATATTATGAACATTTTGACACATTCATTAAAGCAATAGATTTTAACATAATTTAGTTAAATGTTAAGTTATTTGTTTATTTAGTTTTTAATTAGTTTCTACTTATTAACGATTTATTATTATTTAACAGTTTCAGTAATTGTCTTTTCGCCATAATATGAATCTGATATCCCAGTATACACAGGGTGAATTGCTACTCGTGCTACAAACTTCTCCAGTAGATTCTTCACCCTAAAATGAACAAAAAAGTTCATATTGTCCATGGTCCGATTCTCAACCATTTCAGAGTAATTTCGCTTTTTATCGATTTTGAAAGATATCACGTCCTGGCGTCGGAAAATCGTGATATCTTTTAATCTAAACATTTCTCTGAAAATCTAATAGCACCGTTGAAATTCCCGTTAATTTTTCAATAAGAAGATGACGGTGGCAAAATGTTTGGGCTAATTTTTTGTGTTTTATTTCAGCCAGAACTACAAAAAGAGTGGAAAATTGTGTAAATCGGAAAGTGTATAAAGTAATCCAGAGTTTCTAATTTTAGTCTCAGAAGGCAGCAAATTTGAGGAAAACTACCTGATTTAATAACGCTTCCAACGCACTCGTCATTTTCTTATTTAGTGGTTGTGAGACCAAGATGTTGATGACAAAAAGAGAAAAAATGGTGGTTCAAGGATTGCTAATGTTTGAGAGTGACTTGCTACTCGTGCTACAAACTTCACCAGTAGATTCTTGACCCTAAAATGAACAAAAAAGTTCATATTGACCATGGTCCGATTCTCAACCATTTCAGAGTAATTTCGCTTTTTATCGATTTTGAAAGATATCACGTCCTGGCGTCGGAAAATCGTGATATCTTTTAATCTAAACATTTCTCTTAAAATCTATAAGCACCGTTGAAATCCCCGTTAATTTTTCAATAAGAAGATGAAGGTGGCAAAACGTTTGGGTCTTTCTTCCTTGACCTTCTAGCTGTTTGTAAACTTCTTAAGCATTACATACTAAATGGGCATTAAATTAAATTAAAAAATTTCAATGGAATTATGATTTTGATTCTCTCTAAAAATTAACGGGGATTTCAACGGTGCTTATAGATTTTAAGAGAAATGTTTAGATTAAAAGATATCACGATTTTCCGACGCCAGGACGTGATATCTTTCAAAATCGATAAAAAGCGAAATTACTCTGAAATGGTTGAGAATCGGACCATGGACAATATGAACTTTTTTGTTCATTTTAGGGTGAAGAATCTACTGGAGAAGTTTGTAGCACGAGTAGCAATTCACCCTGTATATACATTTTATATATTTTATATTTCTGGTTATTGTATTACATGTAATATTTTGTATGAAGCATGTAGAATAAATATAATAATAATTAAAAAAAAAAACAAAAAAAAACAAGAAAGACAAATCTACACGGAAAAAGAACACTTTGAGCCCTGAAGATGATCTCAATAAAGATCGAAACGCTGGCACTATAAAGAAAATATTTTTCTAAACCTACGTCAGACCAGACCGCATCTCGCGATCTCCAAATAATCATTGGCTAACGGTCACTAAACAACACACATTGCCAACAATTACCACGCAAACGTCTGAAAAAAATGTGGAAAAGAGACCTCTGAAATGATTAATATTATGAATATAATTTTGATTAATATAATGATTAATTTTATTACTCCAGAGCGGCTGCCGATGGGTAGCTTTCTCTATAACGCCGGTAATGCCACAAATTATCTAATCTGCTGGTTTACATAATACATATACAGTTGTAGATGTAAATAAATGAAGTTAAAAAAAAAAAAAGTTCAATGTTTCTAAACTTGCAAGAATGGAAGAAAACCATTCTCATGGCATCTACCGGCCGTAGCGAGAAATTGAGGGAAATCAGTTCTCAATGGTATTTAAGTATGCCGGATCGATGATACTTTATACTTGCAATATTTCATAGGTCGAAGTTATCCCTGTT